CGTTTCGCCGGCATCGTCAGTGAGTATCGCCATTCTTAGCACCATACAACAACTCGTCAAAGAGACAAGTTTAGTTGAGAAAAATAATTTAGATGAATTGTCGGAAAAATACTCTTTCCGTCCCTTATCAGTTGAAGCGACCTCGGCCGACAAAAGTTCCCATTCCGACGGTGACACTTCGCTTGGCGACTGTCCGAACTGAGTGCTCCAGCCTTGATTAGTCTCTCCTCGTCCTCACCCAACTGTGGTAGCTCGACCTGCCCAGCATGCATTCAGTCAATGCGCCCAGAACATGTGCATTCAATGCGTGAAAGTGTAGGCCGGTCAGAGAGGGTCTTACCTTGCCGGAAACGATTTTCTCGTAGATCTGAATGGGCTGGTCCGCGAAGAAAGGGGGATAACCGGCCGCCATTTCGTAGACCAAAACACCCAGAGCCCACCAGTCGACGGCTTTGTTGTAGCCCTGTTTGGGTTAAACGGGAAAAGCAATCGTGGTTAGGCTGTGGACAGGAGGAAAGATGTGTCAAGTGACAAACAGAAAAGTGAATGTATCAATAGGAGAAGGGAGAAACGAAGCCTACCTTGAGCGAGTGGACTTTGTGAAAGAACGATTATCTCTGGCTTCTGACTGAAGCGTGGAGCAAGATAAACAAATAAAATGTGTAGAAAAATGGATAAAATAAGCGAAAATTGCAGCCTCTATCCGTATGCATCTGATGAGATGGGCCAGATTATCGGCTAACGACCAGGTGTCCGTGAAAAATAAACAACCAAACTGACTTTGGGCATATTTCTGTTCCATTCAATGTCCTATTGGACGGACAGCGAATCTGTCGAGGAGGAAATGACGAAAGAAGTTGATATTTCGATGAATTTCACTTTCCAAACGGATTCGAACTGTGAAACTTGAGATCCCGAGGCGAACAGGCGAAGCCTCAGGGTCCTTGAATGACTCTAAGCGGGATTTCGTAGGACTCTGGAACAACAGATTGAAGTAGATGGTGTCAGATGACGATCAACTAAA